GACAGTAAGCACACACAATATGTACCTATACAGTATTCCACACCTTTTCGACTTAAGCCGTTTGGACACGGTGAGCACCCGAAGTAAGCGTGAATTATATGTGTTCTGCTGTAGTCACGTACAATGCGCGATGCGCGACGCGCTGAAGCGTGTGCTCGCCTCCTACTTCTCGTTTTCTCTGCGCTCTCTCAACGAGAGAATGCGTCGAGCAAACTCGCCAACTATACTGAGCGCCGTTCATGTAGGAGGTGGAGGATGGCACGCATGTCAGATTGGCCTCGCGTAGGATGGGGCGGCACCCGGGGTGACCCCCTTAACGTGCGCAGCGTTGAGCCTCGCCGCTTGCGTGCACGTGACTGCGGCAGAAATATCGTAATTTACGCTTACTTCGGGTGCTCACCGTGTCCAAACGGCCTAAGCTCTCCTTTTCGTTCTTGGCCGAGATGGACCGGTAACACCACGACAGCGTTTAACATGGTGTAGTTGCAGACTCAGGGCCTGCATAAGTCCACCAATCACGCATAAACTCTCACCCTTTCCCTGGTTCTGCAATTACGACAGGTCTGGACATAGAAATAAAGTGGTGATTGAGGTTAAGTGGTCGAAATCAAAGTTATTGTTCAAAAGAATGGCTCCAACATCAAGCCACCCTAATGTCTTTATGCATTAAATTCACTGCTATTCTGAACAGAAGACGAGTTCGAGGCCAGAAAAGGTTCACAATACCAAAAATTGCTGTTTTTTCCATTTTCGTATCGATCTTTTAGCAATTATTTGTGCACTGTAGAGATGCCGCTGGCTCCACTTTTCGTTCTGCTAGCGAGTCCATGCATTGTGCTCACTTCCTGCGCCTTCTTCACTTTTGCAGTGTAGCCGAACATCTGTCTGATAACGTCACGGTACTCAGTGCTGAAAAAACGATTTTTTTCGCAAACGCTAGTCCAGACTGCGACATAGGCAATTCCATTTGTATCCATGGGAATTGCGCAAAATGGAGATAAATTCAATAAATAGATAAGTATAAAATTCTGAAAAATATGTGTTGACTGTCAAAATAGGTAAAAATGTAGTAATGGGTCATTTTAGTAGGTTTTGTTTTTTAAGCGCACATTTCAATGTCAATGAGACAGAAATATTTTTTGAAGAGCAGCGCCCTAAACTTTAGCGGTTCCCTACGATTTTTCTATGCGCATTTAGGTTGACTAGCTGCGATAGGGAGGGCAGTTTTTTGCGAGACATACAAGTCCACAACATTGAGTCCGATTTCATGTCGCCAAAACTGCGAAGCAAAGCGGCACCCCACAGCAGCAAGGGCCGTAAGGAATCGCTTGCGCCAATGGTTAATGAATCTGAAAATCTTAGGTCAATGTTTTCTGCCTTCCCAACTGGGATTGTTCCTGTATTGGATGAGATGACAGAGGATAAGTGAAATAGCCATTTCATGCCCAACACCCCATCGGGGTACAGCATTCCTTGACTGCAGCGTTCTGTTCTGCTCGTGCTCTTGCAGGCGCCGTCCTCACCCTTGCCAAAAGGTGGTGCGGATTACGTTGATGTGAGATTTCTGGTCTTTTCTCCAACTAGCCTCATTCATTGAGGTGCCAACTTTCTTGCAAGCCTGCGTGCGTCTGCTGAGAGTTCCACAATCCCTGTAAGAAAGGGCACCGTGAGAAGGTACAGTTTCCCATCAAGCGCGTTCCCCTCCTTCCCTGTTTCCCTCTCACGGATGGGATTGAAGCCACAACCTAAGCAGAAGTCGTAAAAGATCTTCATTTCTCGTCGCTTGTACAGTAGACTTATGGGGTCCTTCGGTCTGAACGATAAACCTCGGAACCGATCACAGATGTGGCACTCCCGCGCATGGAAGTCGTCTAACAAGAGCGGCAGGGGCCATCCAAATTAAGCTACAAGCCGCAACGTTTCGCTTCTCGCCTGCGCCCTCATCATCTGTTGCACTCTCTCGTTCATACTCTCTCCTCCGCTCTCAGTCTCTCTAGTCGCGCGATGTGCCTCCAAAAATGAATGGTAAGTATTTCTTTTCGAATAAAAATCCGAAAATGACTAATTTTCAAAAAATTTCACGTACTTGATACCGTAATAGACGAACACGTTTGATGCAAGTCCGATATTCACTGCAATACCGGCGTACATGTTGATGACAATGGTTGTATAGACATCCTTTGCGACAACTAGCGCGCACAGAGTTGGTTATAAATGTGAATAACCAGCCACACAATACAATTTCACGGTCACAGCTATGCGATTTGAAGACGCTTTTCATTTTTGAACCTGCAAAAAACTCTCTTTTGAGCAGTCACATAGGATAAAATCAAAAAGGTATAATTTTAAGTATTCGCTTCTAGTCAAATCTAGCTGCTCATTTGCGTCAAGTACGCAACAGCACCATTTCCCCTATAACCGAGCATAATTGCCACTCTTTCTGAATGTTCTCCAGGTATTTTCAGGGCAATTTTCCCTAGAATGTTTATCTAATCTCAGGTTAATATCTGGAACAGCTCTCACCACCTCTGAGTAGCTGCAACTAATTCCAGGAAGGAACCGACGCGTAACGTGGGAAATCACACAGAATCGTATTTTGAACGACTAATAATCATATGATTCAACGGGTTTATGTGAAGCCTTCTCCGAAAAGGTCAGCTGCGTTTTTCTTTCAAAGGTGGTTCGAGTCCACGCAACGGATGCATTCAATCATTCATAAAAACGTAGATTCTCGGCTGAAAGCTTTTCAGCTCCGACATGTAGTCCCAACCTCGAGCAAACACATGATGACCTACTCCGATCCTAGCGTTTCTCCTTGGGAAGTTTTCTCGGGGACAAAAATATTTAGCTGAGTGGCATGTCCCCAAAATCTGCATCGAATCTCTCCCGGGATTCAGAGGAAAACGACTACTAAAACTGTTTTCCCATGCGTAGGCAATATTTCGTAGATGATGGAAGTATTAGGTTGTAGGGAAAGTCCTTGCGGTTTTCAAAAAATCTTTTTTTAACCTGCTAAACGCCTGCCAGCAACTTGGCTCGTGCATATATAAGGAGAACATATATGTGCAAGTTCAGTATAATTATTAGCTATTACCTGTAGCTTATCACGTTTCTGCAATATGCAACTTTCACAACAGTACTTTCATGACCTTTTACTATACGGGTTGATATTTGGCGAATCAGCAGCCTAATCCAGACGTCGCATTGATGCTGCGTGTGGAGAACGTAGGGTATCCGAATGCGCTGCACAAGGTTGGTCTGAACGCTTCCGCGAGGGAGACTCCAAGATTGAAAGTTCCACTTGATCGGGACGTGAACTCGAAGTCGACAATGATCGTTTGCGTAAGCTGGTGTGGGCAGACCCAAGGCAAACTGCGCGTGAAGTTGCATAAGTCTCAGGTGTATCCTTTAGCATCACTGCCGGTCACCTGCATCAGTTGGAAAAGGTGCACAACCTGGGACAGTGCGTACCCCACAGCTTGACCGTACACGATTGTCCGCAACGTGCCGAGGTGACTAATGAATGGCTCTCGTACAGGCCACGGATGGTTGGCTGAAGTCCGTCGTCACACAGGATGAGAAGTGCAGTCTGTAGGTAAACAAGGGTGACCAGCTGAGCCGCAACAGAGGGCAGGTGTCCACCCTCTGAAGGTTATGATCTGTTTTTGGTGAGACTGCTAAGGCATTATCCATTACGAGCTACTGCCGCGCTGCGCTACTCTCGCGGTGGACTTGTGCTATTAGGAGCTGGATAGAATGGCCACCGAGATCGCAAAGAAGCATGGCAATTGCGGCATGATATTATTCTTGCACGACAACGTTTGTCCACGCACTAAAACAGTGACCCGACACAAGCGATTCGACTCTGGGCGGAAAAGGGGAAGCAACCCACTGTACAGCCAGGATACTGATCCAACAGAATACCACCTTTCCCTTTCGCTATCGAATGCCATACAAGGGAAAACGTCCGAAGATGAAGATGACATAGATCGCGGGTTGAGTAATTTCTTCGAGTCGAACTCAGGGCAGTTCCTTGATAAAGGCAGCCGAAGTCTGCCCGAAAAGTGGCAAAGAGTGATAGAGTGTAATGGTGATTACCTTGCATCCTCATGTGTTTTGTTTCTTTCAAAAAGCCAGAAAAACGATAAGTGTCGAAAACCGCAAAGACTTTCCCTACAACCTATATATATAATGGCTTGTATAAGCAAAACCTTTAATATAGGCAAAGCATTGGAATTGAAAAATTGCTAAATCACTATTATTCGCATAACTTCATGACGAATAAAAGTTTAAACAGTGGTGGAAAACTTGATCATTTCATTTTGAAAAATTCTGAAAATCTCACTTGCTCCACTTTTTCTGAGCACGTAAAATGTTGGCCATACACTACGACGATAGCGACATTCACTGCGATTCCAATCTGATTCAGCAAATCGAAAGCCACGACTCCAAAGCTTTGAGGTATCGCACATTGAACCAACCTTAAAATTAAAAATTCTTTTTTCTCGTTCTCGGCAGAAGCTTTACTAAGTGCTTGACTCATATCCGGATACTTAATAATTCCTTTTGGTGTCACTTTACCAGGATATTAACGTTATGGGATAGCACCATATGTACAACATGGGAGAACTTCCGTTTTCTCTACTCTGTGATATGCCCAGAAACGCAAGACAGATCTTTTCGGGTGAGGACGAGCACGAGGATGGTTTCAATCACCTGGACACAACATGTGAACAGTTCTCAGGATTTTTGTCGTTCTAGAACCTTCTTCCCTTAAAATTCAGCGCTTACTGTTGGCGTAGGCCTGGTGAAATGTGTGGGTGTAAGACCAGTAATATTCAGGAAAGAGACCGGCCTCAACCAATGAGTGGAAGACCAAAGGTGAGCTCGCCGTGTGAAGGACTGTGCAAACAAATTTACTGGATCATGTTCAGATTCACGATTGATCCTTGTGCAAAAACGCATTCACAAGGACATACAAAGTGTACACTGATGGCAGTAACATATGACATGAGCCATATCGAATAGTGCAGAGTATTTGAAAGAATCGAAACTCGACTTTGGATAATTCCTGTTCAAAAATATACAGGGGTGGCCAAAAAAAAAGAGACACTTGACTCCACATTTCAGACAGCATTAATCACACTTTGCTAGAATCAAATCGACTGCCCCAACTCATTATTGAAGAGCACCTTCTAATCTATCTAAACCTTATACGACAGCCTTCTACACCGACGACATCAGAAGATTTTCCCACGGAAATATAGTTCGCGATACGAGCTCAACGGGGTCGTCGAGGTACCATAGACCATTACGACGTCCCTGAAACGATGGTCAAAAGTGGTTTGCATAGTCACAGCTAATGTCTCGAGGAAGCTATTTAATCGTCAATCCATTGAAGAAATCGTGAAGTAGCTTCAGGCCGGAGCGATTACGGTAAGCCTCGTTGAGCTCGACGGTGGCGGTAGATGACGTCATATTCTGGAGACGGCGGGGACAGCGAAGGAGGGGCTGCTTCTGCTCACGGGGGAACACCTATGGAGTATTACGCCGTAGAAGTTTCACTAACATCGGCACTCTGTGCGACGAAAAGTTCGATGAAGTGCGCCATGGGCAAAGTGTCTCTTTTTTTTGGCCACCCCTGTATATGGAATCTTCGGCACTGATCATCCTGCTTGGACTGCACTAGCATTTATGTACTTCCAGCAAAGATCGCGCTAACATTTTAAGGCTATTTGAACAGGGTCAACCGTCACGTTGGACCGACATTGGACCGACGTTGGACCGACGTTGACCGCTCTCCGCGCCGGCATTCGCACTCGCCTTGCGCGAGCCGTCTGTGTCTCCGTGCGTACGTTCACTCTCGGCATTACTCTCACACGCTAGAGAGCCATGCGTTGGACTTTGTCCAACGGACGGTTGACCCTGATTTGGAGTCTCAATCAGTTTCCCCTGGGCCGATGTACTGGCATGTCATGCTTTTGTGATACTGTCTACCAGTCAGGGCCTTTCTTTGTGAGGTGAATTTCTCTCCTACAGTTTAGCTACAAGGGCAGTGGGCGAAGTATTATACTAATACTAATACTTCAGATGTGAAACCCATGAGTTACCTTGAAGGAAATCGTACTGCAGCGAAACGATCCAGGCCTAAGCAAAGGATCAAAGGACTTCCAGCACAAGCTCCAATCATTGGAATCAACTGCATCCAAAAACAGCGCGACTGGATCATTGTACCTGAAATAAAACACTTTTTGAAATAGAACCTCACTATTGAAAAGTCTGGTATGTAGATCTTACCGTTTCGGAAAAACAGATACACAAAAGGGTACTGTCCGATTTCGTGAACAAGATCTGCGGCGCACGTGAACACGATCATTATGTGGCACGGTGATTTCATTCGCCTGAAACGAGAGACTTGTCTAGCTGCAAATCTGTAAGTTCAAAGTTTTTCGGGGCGCTATCGCAAGATACGGGGACATCCTCTAGGCCTAAACCTAGGAAGGGCCAGGAGCTAAAGGAACCTTAGGGCCAGGAACCTCACGCACCTTGGAATCGGGGCAGCCTCGGGTTAGGACATTCCAAGGTGCGTGAGCAATTTTTGTATTTTCCCGAGTTCCTGGCCCTCTCTAGGTTTTGTCCTAGACGAGCCCCGTATCTTGCGCACCTTAGAGTCTGTCCTGCCCCTCCCAAGGCTTAGTCCCGATTCCAACAAATAGGGGATGTTTCACGTGGTAAATGCATTGCTATCACAATGCCCCCTATCTTGCGATAGCGCCATTTTATTCAGAAAGGAGCAAACTCACTTTGCTTTGAATGTTGCAATAATCATAACAATGTTGCCAATAATCCCGACACACGAAAGAGAAAAGAAAACAAAAGGCAACGGGAGCACCACTTTATCGAGTCCATCAAACATTGCAACACGGTTCTGGAAAAGTAGCCAATGAAATCCGTGGCTCATCTATGGATTTTTTGAGGGTGAGCCATGCATTCTGCTCCATTCAGAAAGGCAAAACCGCAGTTTCTTTTCGAATGTGATCGCTTTCACAGGCCCAAGAAAGTCAGGGTATCCATTATCTGGAAAGTTGGTCGAAAAGTTGAAGATCGTGAAGGGACTGAAATGCTAGACGCTTTGCTGCGGCGCGACCTAACAAAAAAAAAAGTTTTTTGGATCTTGAATTTAGCCGCTTTGGCTTTATCACGATCGCGTTTGGGTTGCCTGGCTATTATCTTTGCTGGTTTTGGATTATATTTTTTCGGCTTTGACTCTCCCTTGTGGTTTCTTCCCGGCCATAAATGTGTATAAGGCACCTATAAAATGAACGAACCAAATTGTACACTCCATACCCTTATAGCCCACATATCAAGCACATTAGAGAACCACTCGCCATTCGCTCCCTTACAATGCTTTAAACATAGTATCAATGGCTTCTTAGCGGAAGTGGGATAGTAACAGGTGTTGTCACTTACCACGTACACGGACTGAGGACCAGTTCTCGGACCGCACGCTGTTCGTGCCCACCCAGCCTCCCCCGGGTTGGTTAATTAGTACCAGATATCGAGGCTAGCCAACTAGTGACAAATGGCGGCAAGTCGCCAAGTAAAGCCAAGATTGCATCACACAGCACTGCGGTTCGTGGAAATGAAAGGTTTGAGTGAAATGGCGCATTCCTGAAGGTACTGATTGACTCGGAGTGCCTTTCTCTTAGTTTCTCATGACTCTCGAAAGGAAATTAGATAGAAAACTCACTCTGCAATAAGGATTGCTAGCTAGATAGGTAACTGACTGCCGATCCTACTTGCTTGCTTGCGCAGATCTAGATTTCATGGAGAATAACTTGGTATCTGACTGGCGTAATAAGCTCAATTCCCACGAAATGGACACAACGACTGCAGTGGGGAAGTGAACGTTGTGTTTATTGAAAGCTTATGAGTCTTTATCCAATGAATGCAGTATGTTACTCAATGCAACAGCCCGGCCATACTCGATATCACTGAATCCCGTGTTGAAATGCGAACGATAGCGGCGGAGCAAAACTGGTTTTGAATAATCTGTTTGGAATTACGAAGCGTGATCTTACCTTGGGACGGGATAAGCGAATGGAATTACAGCAAAAGATATGAAGCTGTGGAGCTAGCACAGGAAAGAGGTATCGGCGTTATGCGGGACCAATCTGGTATTTTAAACTCATAATATCACAATTTCACAAAAATGTGTATAATAAGTTTTCAATTTTCTCGTTTTCAGTGAAGTGCTTAGGTGAAGCACGCATTCAAATTCCATTACGACACTGAATGGAAATTCAACGCTTGGCGCAGTCGAACGGGTACCCCCCAGGAGGCCCGTCGCGCGGCAAGAAGGCAGAGTCGTCGGACGAGTTGCAGCGCGTGATGTGCGATGTAGGACGTGCAATGGGACACTCTTTTAACTTGACGCGAAATCCCTATAGTGCGCGCGCGACTCGTCCGCTGACTTTGCCTTTTGCCGCGCGACGGGCCTCCTGGGGGGTACCCGAGGAAGCCACATGCTCCTGCACCTGCAAAAATTTCAACTTGAACCGGTCCCCGGAACAATTCGATCATTGCCTTCGCGCTTTTACAGCCTAGCACGTTTTCTCCATTGCAGAATGGGTCATTTTTGGCGAGCTTAACGCCTCAGCCTCCCCCACATTACTGGATCGCCCTGTGATTTATGAGCGAAACTACACCTAGCGACTATTGCCGCACTTGCAACAAATTCGATATGTGATTTCTGGCCCTGACATATCTGGCAATAAATTGACGGAAAAGATTTTTTTTCCACAAAATCGTTTTGAACCTGCGTTTGTAGTACCGCGGGCTCAGATTACGAATACAGTATCTATTTTGACGTGATCGACGCATTGAATGTAAATGGCGCTATTCTGGCGCTGGCGTCAAGAGGCACGGGCGCCAGTTATCTTCATATTCGTATCATCGCGATAAGTCTATTCCGATATGTTTCCAGCTCATTAGTACCATGACTATGTAGAAGTAAATGACACATTCTGATCAGGGTCCGAACGGTCGGATACCCCCCAGGAGGCCCGTCGCGCGGCAAGAAAGCAAAGTCAGTGGACGAGTCGCGCGCGCGTACTATAGGGATTCGCGTCAAGTTAGTGGAGTGTCCACTGACGGTCTACGTGGACAGCGCTTCACTTGTCCACCGACCATTCTGCCTTCTTGCCGCGCGACGGGCTTCCTCGGGGGGTTATCCCAGTCCAAAAGGCTAAATAAGCGAAGAATTGCTTGCCCATCTCTACTCGGAAGTGGTGTGATGGGAAATGGAGTCACTTACCAGAGGATCAATGCAAGGGATTACGAGTAGATTCGAATGAGTGGCCCTAAGCCCCGTTCGGGTTTTTCCTGACAATGGGGGGGGGTGCATAGGGTCAAAAAGCTCTGACAGCTATAAGTCAAATGAAGGCCTCCAAATCATCGTGGTCATATGACATTTCCATGCGACGCAATTTTATAACGACAAAGGCGTTGGCGCAAATCCGGTTGCTTAATCAGCTCTGATTCACTGATTTTTTTACTTTTATCGATCCAGTCACATAGGCAGTCTCCTCGGGTTGTGTGACGGGAAGCATTGGAAACACCGATGATATTGCTTTTTGCTCGAGGCAGGAGCCTATTCTCGACAATAGGACGTTATGATGTTTTATTGGGGACCTCATTCACTCGAGCGTCCATTCCAGAGGCGATCGGCTGTGGAGTCAATTACGCCGATCATGTTAAAGAACGCATTCACTATAGGACACCGCACACCGAGATCGCTTCTTCACCAAGTATTAGCCGATGCTTGGTGTCAGGTTGGATAACAAATCATTTCTTACCTTCATGAATTCTCTGATGTTTCTTCTCTTTATTTACCGATTTAGTCTAGAGCTAGTCATTCACATCGGCCCTAAGACCTTACGGATAAAGGGCTAAAATTTTTGAAAGCCGCTTTCATCCCAGTTCCATGACTTCATCCTTACCTGAGGAATGCTCAGGTCATTTCAAGTGACGAAATTACTTGAGAATTACTACAATTGCACTTTTCACATGACAGCTGCCCCGCACATGCGTTCCTTGCCTTTAGATAATTTATCAGCAGTGATTTGCTTATCACCTCGTACGATACTCATGGCGACTAGTGCTTCCGGCTGTAGTCTGCCATTCATTCAACTCAATTGTTCTTCAGATCACAGTTACTCGTAGATTACTTTGTTACTCAAAATGCGCTCTTTTTTCTCTGTCAAATTATTGGCTTGAAGAGGGATTTTTACTCGTTGTTCTTCTGCAATTAAGTTTACAGAAAAAGATGAAGAAAATATCAATAATCCATTAATCAATTGATTACTGATTCCACAACCGATTCTCTCTAGTTATTCTTGAAAAACAATTCCAATTTTATTCATTCTTGATTATTGTTTATCACCAATATCAATTGATATCTTTCTTGATTTGGCGGCATTATCAGTGATTTCTGTTTAAATCGATTAACTCAGTTATCATATTCGAAAAAACATATGTATAGGATGATAATAATTATAAATAAACAACTCATTGCTCACGACCTAAAATGACAGCAAAAATACATATACATTCTTCTGTCATATGTGAGGTAAATTGCAAGTTTTTTTTCGGCTTTAATGCCCGCCCCCCCCCGCGTCGAACTATCGAAAACCGAGGCCGGAATTTTTATCGCAGATGGTTGCTTACCGTGAATGGCTAAAAAGTGTTCTACCGGGGTAGTTCATTGAGTAGAATACGATACACTCGTTTAAGCGATGCTTGGCGCTCGGCGCACACAGGACCGCAAGTAGGGCCGGGCATCTCGGAATACCGGAATTCAGCAATGCGCATTCCAAATATAAACATCGTCTTTGTCCGTTTCATGAAGCTAGCTACCGTCTTAGCCTGAAAGTTGAGCTAAGATCTCGGCAGCACAATGGATTACTATCGTTCCCAGAATGCCTAAACAAAAGTTCAAGCGCAGTTCAGCCTGTACATTTCGCCCACAGCGGCAGCTCCCTTGTGACAGCATTCATATTGTATCGATTTCATCACCATCATTATTTTCTTAACCATTTGATTTATACATCGTTTGGTAGGGTGCTTATATCGTCCCGTTCAGGGAGGGTTCATGTTTTCTTGATCTTTAACCCTTGTCCCTAGACTACTCTGAGGTAGGGTCAACTCTACGTTGGGATTTGCAGCGGGGGGATCGTAGTTTGTTGACCCTCTCCCTCAACGGTGTTTTTTGGGGGAAAAAGAAGTCGTAAGAAGGAGTTTAGAGACTTCATCACGGAGGGGAAATTTGTTCAAAAGTCATACAAATAGGACGACCGATAGGCTTCTAAGGTGATGACATCTGAGATTTCTATGGAATTTTCCGGGTCCATTGATGAGGGCATAACGTGTTGCAACGTACATAATGTCGCTTGAGTAATCCATATCGGATCTCTGACGATACGATCCGCCATAACTGTGGTCATTTCGATAGTACACGTGTCTTATCGTTCCTTTATGGCAGTCGTCCTTTCTGTTTAACAGCAGTTTGAAGCTCCACAACTTTATTTAAAATGCTTCAAAATACTAAAATATCCAATAGCTGCGACAAACCTTGATGCTTTCTTGTGCAGGAAAGGTTTTCAGGTGGGAAAAAACTTTATTTACGACGCAGGAAGCACATCAAATGAACATCACTGTTGAGTAGCTACGAGAGAAATGTTGGGCATTTTAAAATATTCTACGATATTTTGGTGCTGATTTTCATTACGGAATAGTTTGAGAAGTTTCTCGTTTTTTAGTCTTGTTAAAGGAATCTTCCACGGAAAAAGCTCCGCCCTCATTACCACAGAAAACGATACCTTAAAGGAATCTTCCACGGAAAGAGTGATCATTTTGTCTTGTGTGTAGGATTAGTATTATCGAAACTAACGCTTATGTTCCGTTCTTTTTGCTATGCTCATGAGGCTAGGGGCCTAAGGGTATCGTTTTTCTGTGGTAATGGAGGCGGAGCTTTTTCCGCGGAAGATTCCTTTAAAGATTTGAATAACTTTGGGATTCAAACTGTTGCTGGAGGCACCATCGGGACTGGGCCCTTAAATCTTTGCTGATGCTTTTGTTCCGTTTTGTCTCCGCTGAAGCTCCAATTCAACTCATTGTTGTCATTTTGAAGCGTCGTAGACCTCAGCTCGATCCAGACCCTTGCCTTAACATTTCAATCGCTATGATGCAGCAGTACACTAACCATAATGTCCAAGTGCAATTATAATCCTAATGAAATATTTTAGGAAATGGTTAAATTCAATAGTAATAACGGAGTTGTTGAAG